CCTTTTTACACCTCCCTTTCTTGATGTGTTCAATATTTTTTCCCCTGTGCCATTCCACATTATTAAAAATAACTTAATCTCTGGACATTTATGGTTTGATTTCTTTGTATGTATGGATCACTTGGGTTGTTACCGACATCTGGTGAAAATTTCATGTCATTAGCACCTCTAGTAATATATGTACTGAGAAAAATGGTGACATGTTCAATACTAATTTTACCCGCTGTATGTAATGGAATGTTCATTAAATAACTTCGATACTGTAAGCACCCCTCAGGTGAAAAGTTTATTGTAGTGATACAGTAAGTTGCCACAACCTGTCATGGAATATGAACAAACGAGGCTTTTTTMATTTCTGTTTTAAAGTAATTTTCTTTTTTGCTATTTGAAACAGAAAATGAAACTCAAACATTTTAAAAATTTTGTTCATCTGTTTTTGACACGAAGAATGAAAAACGCTTTGTATTTTAATTTTAATTTCTATATTTTAAAACAAAAATCTAATAACCACTCATTTCTTGTTTTTTAATACCCGTTTCTAAAATGAAAATCCAATGACCAAAAGATACACTGACCCAAAAACCCAACATGCTTGTTTTGTTTTTGCAATTTTATTTTGAAATGAAAAAAACCAAAGAACGAACCATACACGGATTGTTTGTAATCCGTATTTTCGTTTTGGTTCAATAAACGAAAAACGGAAAAAAAATGTGATTTTTTTTCATTTTTTGTTTCAAATGAAAAAAGCAACTGCCTGTATGTACACGGACCCAAGACACCTTCAGTCTTGACCTCAAAATAACCAGCTTTGAAGCTCCATTATTTTGAAACTTCTGATGGACCGAGGCAGATTCCAGAAGATGCAGTTGAACAAAACTTGGAGGTTTTACTGAAGGCGTGAGACAGTCCTGACCGGGCCTTCTAACTCATCTAGGTGAATTCTTCTCATACACTTAAACCTGGCAGTCGAAACCCCCAAAAGGTAAAGCTGAATGTTTTGACAAACATATCGGAATTGGGCTGAAACGTCTGCAGATATCCTGTGTTGTTCTGGTTTTTCACACTTTGATAAGATAATTGATAATCCTTATAACTAAACTAATCCTCCTTGTTCTTACTTTTCTTAAGCTTAAAACCTTGCCATAAGTCCATGTGCCTGTGAACATGTGCTTTATCAAGATCTCAAACCTAAAGTTTACTGTTCTGAGTTGTCATATTTACATTAATCGATACGGACGCGTATGTGATTCTTGTTGATGTTTTAACTCATAAAGTGCTGATTATTCACATTAATTTGTATGTAAGTAGTTAATTTTATTCTGTAAATAAATATCATTTATTTTAGAAAACTTGAACTACTGAGTACGAT